AAAATCTCTCACTGCCTCCATTTCTTCCCCTTCTATTTGCCAGGAGGTGATGGGCCCAGTGGCCATGATCTTCGTTTTTTTGATGTTGAGCTTCAGACCATATTTTGCACTCTCCTCTTTCACCCTCATTAAAAGGTTCTTTAATTCCTCTTCACTTTCTGCCATCAAGGTTGTGTCATCTGCATATCTGAGGTTGTTGATATTTCTCCCAGCAATCTTAATTCCGGCTTGGGATTCATCCAGCCCAGCCTTTCGCATGATGAATTCTGCATATAAGTTAAATAAGCAGGAGACAATATACAGCCTTGCCGTACTCCTTTCCCAATTTTGAACCAATCAGTTGTTCCATATCCAGTTCTAACCGTAGCTTCTTGTCCCACGTAGATATTTCTCAGGAGACAGATGAGGTGATCAGGCACTCCCATTTCTTTAAGAACTTGCCATAGTTTGCTGTGGTCGACACAGTCAAAGGCTTTTGCATAGTCAATGAAGCAGAAGTAGATGTCTTTCTGGAACTCTCTAGCTTTCTCCATGCCATCTCATTTTTTACCACATCCAACTTACCCAGGTTCATGGTTCTTACATTCCAGGTTCCTATGCAATATTTTTCTTTACAGCATTGGACTTTCCTTTCGCTTCCATGCATATCCACAACTGAGCGTCCTTTCGGCTTTGGCCCAGCCGCTTCATCAGCTCTGGATCTACTTGTACTTGTCCTCCGCTCTTCCCCAGTAGCATGTTGGACACCTTCCGACCTGAGGGGCTCATCTTCCAGCGTCATAACTTTTATATGCCTGTTGTCTTTGTCCATGGAGTTTTCTTGGCAGGGATACTGGAGTGGCTTGCCGGTTCCTACTCCAGGTGGATCACGTTTGGTCAAAACTCTCCACTATGACCTGTTCATCTTGGGTGCCCTGCTCGGCATAGCTCATAGCTTCTCTGAGTTCTTCAAGCCCCTTCGCCACGGCAAGGCAGTGATGACATTATTCCACAAAATGGCGGATCACCAGAAAGTTGGGGTGGTTAGGAAAATAAGTGCCCAGGGAAAGAGGCAGAAGCTGGCAGTTTTGAGGGGACAAGGGCAGGAAAGAAACAAGGGCCCAATCCTTTCACAGTGTATTTCCATAAAGCAGAGGTAAGGAACTGGATTTGGCCACCAGCACCCATGGGCCATTTTTGATAGGTCGTTGGGGCTGCCTACTGATCAGTGCTTTCTGAAACACGCTGACAGGAAGCTTATGAATACTATCAGCATTTTTAAAAGAAGGATTGTTTTCTTTCTGTATTTTAATTTAGGAAATACACCAGAAGATTCTTCAGCAAAAACACCATGTGAAGTTACTTGAAAAAGAGACAAGTTGTTTGAACCCTGAGGTGGTTGAATTAAACAAACAACTCAAAAGTGTCACTGATCTATTTGATTCCAAGATGCAAATGTTCCAGGATCACTTTATGACTCTCCTGAACTGTAAGTAAAATAAACACTACTTCTAGACATCCCTTTAAAAAGAAAAAGAAAAAAAGACACCCTTAGATAGATAGATAGATAGATAGATAGATAATTTATTACGGTCAAAGACCAGCTCACATAACATAACACAATAAAAACAGCGTTCATAAAGATAAAATATACAATCGGAGCAGATTGCAGCAGTAGCTCATGAGTTAAAATTGAGATATATACATACACCCGTACAACTGAGATTTGGGCTACCATAAAAAATTGACCCTGAGGCGCCCCAAAGGGCAACTTCAGCATTTCCCTAGTAAGCTGTTTTATTCTAGAGGGTTATCTGTGCCTACAAATCTGGGCGCCGAATCTGGCTACCAGCCAGGTCGTCTTATGATCTTTGCCTAAGAGGAGAGAATTAAGTTTAGACTTGTCTGAAAGACAGGCGAGCCTCTTCAGCAAAGGATCAATGGTGTCTCTACGAATCTCAACATAAAAAGGACATCTAAAAAATATATGTTCGAGGCTTCCTATTTCCCCTAAGGAAAGATATCCTTTATTTACGTTAATCAGCCACTCACACACTGGCTGGGTTCAACCATCACACAAAGTGTGGTTTGTTTGAATGTCTGAAGTTCCCTAGATTGAATGCTTGAGAGGGCCTAGAAATGGCAGAGCCTAACACAGCTGCCATAGTGTCATACGTCCTTTCAACCAAGGCAGCACTGTGGCAGTTGTTTACACATCCCTTCTCTTTCTCCCTTCTAATCTTCTAGGAGGTCCACCGTCTCACTTTTAAAATATATATATATTTCTTTCTGCAGACCATTGCCAGGATTTCTGTGACTGGTTCAGTAGTACCCGGCTAAATCTGAAGGAATGTTTTGATCCCTCAGAAACAAAAGAGATATTGGAAGAGAAAATTCAGCGGCTGGCGGTAAGGCACGAGGCTTGGACTTGGTGTTGCATTCAGTAGTTCAGTGTTCCTCCAAATGGCATGGGGGGCACCTATATACAGTGGACGCTCGGGTTATGAACATGATCCATGCGGGATGCACGTTCGCAACCCACAGCGTTCGCAACCCACAGTGGCGCATCTGGGCATGCCCGGGTTGCAATTCGGTGCTTTTTCGCATGCACAAAGCGTGATCTAGGTAGAATGATGGGGGTGGAGACGCTCCTTCAGGTATACTGGGCTGAGGCCATTTAGTGCTTTAAAGGTCAGCACCAATCTAGCTGCCGCATTCTGGATTAGTTGTAGTTTCCAGGTCACCTTCAAAGGTAGCTCCGCATAGAGCACATAAATGTGTTGTGGGTCTATTGGTTTGCTATTGTTTGTAATTTTATTATGTATTTTGTGGTTTTTAGATTGTAATTTTATGTTGTGAACTGCCCTGAGATCTGTGAATGAAGGGTGGTATACAAACTACTACAGTCATACCTCATGTTATGTTTGCTTCAGGTTGCGCATTTTCAGGTTGCATCCCTGAAATACTGGAAAGGGTTACTTCTGGGTTTCGCCACATGCGTAGACGCGCAAAATAATGTCACGCGCATGCACAGACGTGGCGAATTGCGACCCGCACATGCGCAGACACGGGTTGCGTTCTTTTCAGGTTGCGAATGGGCCTATGGAATGGATCCCATTCGCAACCAGAGGTACTACTGTACTACTACTAATAATAATAGGGCCAGCCAAACCTCACTGGCTAGGGAATTCCATACACGGAACCACTGCCACAAAGGCCCTACTCGTGTTGCCACAATCCAGACCTCTCATGGAGATGGCACATGAAGAAGGACCTCCGATGATGACCTCAGGGTCTGAGTCCGTTCATATGGAGAGAGGCGGTCCTTGAGGTATTGCAGTCCTGAACTGTTTAAGGCTTTATAGGTCCAAACCAGCACTTTGAGTTGGGCCTAGAAACTAATTGGCAGCCAGCGCAGTTGGGCTATGATCTATCTGCTGCACTCAAACCGTCTTACCCCAATGAGCAACCTGGACGCCAAATTCTGCACCAGCTGAATTTGGCTTCTCACATTTTCCTCTGGATGGCGCAGAGGGTAGGGATTTGTATCCTGCTAAATGACTGCAGCAGCCAACAGATTTTAGCATTTTACACACAAACGTACACGCATATATTGTGTTTTGTGTTTATTTTCGCCCAGACCTTCCTAACCTTTGAAGGCAAAGGCAGTGCTTTCCAGGAGGTGAAAACACTCTTGAGCCAGGTGGAGAGCTATTTCCCCGAAGTGGACGTCAGCCACATGAGCAGATGGATGAAGGGCCAAGAAGCAGAACTACAGAGCGTGATCAGCAGGTGTCAGGGAAGGGAGAAGGAGCTCCATGTCACTTTGCAGCAGTTTGCTAGGTAAGAAGGCCAAGTGCACTAGGCCCAGCTTATTTTAAGGACCACCAACATCCCTTTTATGTATTTATTTGAGACGTTTCTATCCTACCTTGCGATTACGTTGTCTTCAAGGTAAAGGGACCCCTGACCATTAGGTCCAGTCGTGGCCGACTCTGGGGTTGTGGCACTCATCTCGCTTTATTGGCTGAGGGAGCCGGTGTGCAGCTTCCGAGTCATGTGGCCAGCATGATTAAGCCGCTTCTGGCGAACCAGAGCAGTGCATGGAAATGCCATTTACCTTCCCGCCGGAGTGGTACCTATTTATCTACTTGCACTTTGACGTGCTTTTGAACTGCTAGGTTGGCAGGAGCAGGGACCGAGCAACAGGAGCTCACCCCGTCGCGGGGATTCGAACCACCGACCTTCTGATGGGCAAGCCCTAGGCTCCGTGGTTTAACCCACAGCGCCACCCGCGTCCCTTGTCTTCAAGGTTACCCACACAATATTATAACAATAAACGGCAGCAACAACAGAAACCCACAAATGTGGGTGCATGCGCACAGAGAAGGAGATACAAGCCAGGGAAGGTCAGGTTCCAGCTTTCGGGGAGTAACTTTGGGGTTTGTTTGTTTGTTTTGGCTAGAATCCCAAGATCCACCACTCAGAATTAAAGGATTTTGAGTACCTCTACTGAAAAACCTACAAACTTTCTTCATCCACCTCAGCCATATAACTTTAGGAATCAATTCACTTTGCTATTGCGGTTTTAAAAGATTTTCTTGGTTTACAAAAATATGTGCAGTGTCTCTTTTCTCAGGTTGTAAAGTCTTTTATATATATCAGTTACGTATACAGTGGTACCTTGGTTGTCGAACTTAATCCGTTCTGGGAGTCCGTTCGACTCCCGGAACAGTTCGAAAACAAAGGTGAGGCTTCTGATTGGCTGCAGGAGCTTCCTGCACTCAATTGGAAGTTGCGTCGGACTTTCGGCTTCCAAAAAACGTCTGTAAACCGGAACACTCACTTCCGGGTTTGTGGTGTTTGTGAGCCAAACCGTCCAAGTACCAAGGCGTTTGACAACCAAGGTATGACTGTAATGTGAGACATGTAATTAGTGTTGTATACAGAATAAGGTTTGGGAAGAAGAAAAGGGGGGGAAGTGGTTGCTGTTGTTGTTAAGCAATTAAGAGCCAGCAATCTTTGCCAATCTTATGTCAAATCAGTCGGTAGAGCATGAGACTCTGGATCTCAGGGTCATAGGTTTGAGCCCCACGTTGCGCAAAATATTCCTGTATCGCAGTGGGTTAGACCTGGTCTCTTTCAGCTCTACAAATTCCATGATTCTGTGAAATCACCCACAGTCAATCCTGCTTTGCCCTCTCTTTTGTAAGCAATGCAACATGAAAACTATAACTGTGAAAAGCAATAGCGGAAGAGCAGAAACCAGATCCACCATTAAAGATCTAGACAAATAAAGTGGTCTGGACTTGGTGCCTTAAAAGCTGGTACTGGGAGCAAGACCCTTTCACAGCATTTGCCTTAAATTGCTGTATAATTATTATCATGTACCGCAATCCTTGTATTTATTTCCTTACATGTTTTTTCCCCAGACTTGAATATCTGTTCCGTAGCTTAGAGGAATGGCAAAGCCTTCAGGAAAAGAAATGGCAAGAGAATCAAGTAGAGAAGTCGAGGCTGGAGCATTTTTATCAAATTCTTCTAAAACAGAGGTATCCTGCCTTTAGGTTTTTAAATATTTGTTCACTACTTTGGCCAGTTATACGGGATAAACAGATCATATGAAGTTGCCCGCTATTGATTCTGATTGGTTTCGGCAGACATCTGGTACTGTGGCAGCTAGCACTTTTGAGTCTTGAGGGCCACATTGCCCCATGGTAAATGCTCCAGGGGCAATATACCAAAGTTAGGGCTGCCATGTGTCCGGATTTTCCTGGACAAGCCTGGGATTTGGATAGCCAAATCGGCAAAATGTTCTGGAAATCCAGGGGAGGGGTGTAATAAAAATCAGTTCCAGAAAAATGACAGAAAAAGCCCCTAAACTTGATATATATATTTTTTTTATTTAAAAAGAATAAATGTGGGTGTGGCTGAAGCTGCAGTTTTAAAGACGACATAAATGAATAAGCCGAAGCAATTACTGTATTTTAAAATGTTTTTTAAAGCACCAAGAATAAATTCTTTTTGATAAATATACCCCGAATCCCACCAAACCCCTCATTGAATAAGTTTGTTGAATGAGTTAAATGTTTAACAAGAGCTGCCAACAATTAAACCTAATAATAATAATAATAATTTATTATTTATACCCCGCCCATCTGGCTGGGTTTCCCCATCCACTCTGGGCGGCTTCCAACAAAACACTAAAATACAATAACCTATTAAACATTAAAAGCTTCCCTAAACAGGGCTGCCTTCAGATGTCTTCTAAAAGTTTGGTAGTTATTTTTCTCTTTGACATCTGGTGGGAGGGCGTTCCACATGGTGGGTGCCACCACCGAGAAGGCCCTCTGCCTGGTTCCCTGTAACTTGGCTTCTCGCAGCAAGGGAACTGCCAGAAGGCCCTCGGCACTGGACCTCAGTGTCTGGTTAGAACGATGGAGGTGGAGACCCTCCTTCAGGTATACTGGACCGAGGCCGTTTAGGGCTTTAAAGGTCAGCACCAATACTTTGAATTGTGCTCGGAAACGCACTGGGAGCCAATGTAGGTCTTTCAAGACCGGTGTTATATGGTCTCGGCGGCCGCTCCCAGTCACCAGTCTAGCTGCCGCATTCTGGATTAGTTGTAGTTTCCGGGTCACCTTCAAAGGTAGCCCATGCAGAATACGATCCTTACCTCTCACCTATGGTCCCTTATGTTGCAAAAGAAAATAATCTCTTTTTGTGTGTGTGTTTTTCTTTCCTCTCCCAGAGAGTCATTTGATTCTCTTGCTTGGCTGGCAAGTTCTTTGAGGCTCTCTGGTTTATCTAAGGAGGAAGTCGTGCTGGTAACCCCTCAGCTTGTCGACAGGTACAAGACGCTGCTCACCTGTGTCTCTAAAAGCCTTGACGTTTCCCAGGTCCTTTCTGCAGAGGAAAGTAATTTTGAAGAACTTGCCCAGAATATGATCCACTGGGTGCAAAGGCTGAAAGACACAATCTTAGGCCTAAGCTATAAGGAATCCAAGGCAGCGCTGGATGAAAGCCTGGAGAAAATAAAGGTACTAAAAGAGACAACTCACATGGTGTGATGTGATGCTGTTCCCCTTGAACCTCTTCGCTCACTGCCAGCTCAGATGACTCCAATCTGGACCCTCCATTTGTGAACTGACATAGTAGCATCATGGCGTAGAATTGCAGCACTATGGCACACAGGGATCCTCCGGACAATGTGTTTATTTGAGCATTCATCCTGGCTTGGTTTCATAAGGCTTTTGCGGGGGTTCAATTATACCTGGTCTTTATTGAGCATTCTTTCTGATTTGGGCCCCATCTGCACTATACATTTAAAGCATTTATCATAACACTTAAGAGTCATGCATTTCCTCCTCCCCAAAGAATTCTGGGAACTGTAGTTTACTAAGGGTGGTAAAGAGTTGTTAGGAGACCCCTGTTCCCTGCACAGAACCACAATTCTCGGAGTTCCCTGGGGAAAGGGACTTAGAGTGGTACCTCGGGTTACAGACGCTTCAGGTTACAGACTCGGCTAACCCAGAAATAGTACCTCGGGTTAAGAACTTTGCTTCAGGATGAGAACAGAAATCGCACGGCTGTGGCAGCGGGAGGCCCCATTAGCTAAAGTGGTACCTCAGGCTAAGAACAGTTTCAGGTTAAGAACGGACCTCCAGAACGAATTAAGTTCTTAAACCGAGGTACCACTGTACTGCAAACTCACTCTGAGAATTGTAGCATTTGCGAACTGACATAGTTAACGTACCGTATTTTTTGCTCTATAAGACTCACTTTTTCCCTCCTAAAATGTAAGGGGAAATGTGTGTGCGTCTTATGGAGCGAATGCAGGCTGCACAGCTATCCCAGAAGCCAGAACAGCAAGAGGGATTGCTGCTTTCACTGCGCAGCGATCCCTCTTGCTGTTCTGGCTTCTGAGATTCAGAATATTTTTTTTCCTTGTTTTCCTCCTCCAAAAACTAGGTGCGTCTTGTGGTTCTGGTGAGTCTTATAGAGCGAAAAATACGGTAAATCCTGTAGGACATCCTGCCCATAATTGCAAAGGGAATGCTGTAAGTCTGCTGAGGGCAGCAAAGTCCCCTCCTGCGTTTTTGTTTTTAGAATGGAAATACCCACCCACCCCATCGCCCAAAAGTTCTTTGGTTGCACCCATTGCCCGAAAATTAGTCCAGTTTCTGGTTGGGGGAATTCTTCATCCCCACCCAAAATGTTAAAAAAGTTTTGGGCAAAATACTTTAGCTGAGTAGTAGCACCAGCATTCCAAAAAATGCTTTAATGTTTTAAATACAGTGAGCTCCCCCCCCCCAAATATTCCTTTTCCATTTCTTCATCTTTTTCTTCCATTCTTTTGCCATCTTTTTCTTCCATTCATGAGCCACTTGGCAATCGGGCTGCAGTAGCATCTAACTTTTACAGTACAGCTCTTTATTGTAGCTACAACATTAGGCTTCACCTAAAAAGCAAAACGTCAAAGGGACGCGGGTGGCGCTGTGGGTAAAACCTCAGCGCCTAGGACTTGCCGATCGCATGGTCGGCGGTTCGAATCCCCGCGGCGGGGTGAGCTCCCGTCTTTCGGTCCCAGCTCCTGCCCACCTAGCAGTTCGAAAGCACCCCTAAGTGCAAGTAGATAAATAGGTACCGCTTTATAGCGGGAAGGTAAAGGGTGTTTCCGTGTGCTGCGCTGGTGCCGGCTCGCCAGAGCAGCTTCGTCACGCTGGCCACGTGACCCGGAAGTGTCTGCGGACAGCGCTGGCCCCCGGCCTCTTAAGTGAGATGGGCGCACAACCCTAGAATCGGACACGACTGGCCCGTACGGGCAGGGGTACTTTTACCTTTACCTTAAAAAGCAAAACAAGTGTGTGTGGAACCAGTTACCCCCATGCTGTTTCTTACAACACAGGAGATTCTACAGCTGAAAGAGGAGGGTGATGCTAAACTACAAAATATTGTCTGCCTTGGGGAACACGTGAAGAGCAAGAATGGGAGCAAGAATCTCGCTGTTGAGCGTATGATTTCTGATGTCCGAAACCAGTGGGAGAGCACCATTCAAATGGCCAGAGGATATCTAAGGTAGGTAACATGGAGAGGGAACATGGACCACACAAGGAAAGATGTCATACGATTGAAAGAGATGGTGGAGCTTTATCTCTTTCTTCTCGTTCCCTGGCAGAAAACATTCTTACTCAGGAATTAGAGGTCTCTGGGGTGGTAAACATGTATCTGGACCAATACCTAACTCTGTCTCATGTATAGGCTGTCAGTTTGCATTTCTTAGTGCAGGAAGTATTGATCTGATGTGTAGAGATCTTCCCTATTTTAATTTATTCAAGAGGGTTCTGGAAGCTTCTCTGTGTGAAAGAAACAAGCAGGAGGTTCATGATGTTTGGGTTATTCCTTCAGAGAAGTTGAGCACATGAAAGACGAGAAGGCTGAACCACAGACTAAACGGAAGAAGAAAGCGAAACTTGGCTGTGTGGAAGAACGAGAGGCCGGGAACATCCAGAGTACTGCGCTCAGACATGACGGGCAGATCCAAGAGAAGGCAGATGCAGAGGAACTGCTGATCTCATTTGATGCTCCTGATATCAGCCTGATGGAAGTGCTTGGTGGAAGCCAGAAAGGAGGATCAGTAAGTGTTATGGGATGGAATGTGTGCCCACTACAAAGGGAAATCAGAGTAGCTTCTCTCTCTCTGAGTTCTTGTTGAGTTCAGTTTTCATGGGCTGGAGGGGAAAGACGAGATTCCTAGAGGATAGGCTTCCATATCCCTTCTTTTCCTCTAATGCAGTGGTTCTCAACCTGTGGGTCCCCAGATGTTTTGGGACTACAACTCCCATCATCCCTGAGCTCTCGCCCTGCTAGCTAGGGGTGATGGGAGTTGTAGTTCAACAACATCTGGGGATCCACAGGTTGAGAAAGGCTGCCTAATGTGAACCTATATCAAAAGATCCACTGGTCATTTGACCTAGTGCCTCCACCCACTTGAGGGATCGCCTTGCCCACTTGGCCCCTTGGAACCGCAGAACTGGCACTGCTGCAGGTGCCACATAATATTTGTTCTGCAATGGTAAGAAATCAATCTTTGGGTGTGGCGAACC